GAGAGAATGTTTAGTATAGCCAGGTGTCGGGGAGCACTCCTGTAATTCCTTTGACTTTGGGAGACAGGGGCAAGAGGATCATAAGTTCAAGTCCAGCCTTAGCTACTTTGTGAGGCCTCAGCAATTTAGCAAGATTCTTTCTAAAAATAAAAAATAGAATGGATTGTGGATTTAACTTGTTGGTAAAACATCCCTGGGTTCAATCCCCAGCCACTCCCTGCCACCACCACTTTGTAAGCAAACAAAGATAGGTGAAGCACTTTTTTCATGTAAATCTGAACAATAACACAATTGTTTAAATTTTAGTTTCAAACTTATTTAGAGGATTTGGTTTGGAGATGCTGGTGTTTTCACCCTACCTGTTATTTTTTTCTTTGGAACTGGGGATTGAACCCAGGGATGCTCTACTACTGAGTTACATTTCCAGTCTTCTTTATTTTTTCTTTTGAGACTAGGTCTCTCTACGTTGCTGAGGCTGGCTTTGAATTTGAGCTCCTCCTGCCTCAGCCTTGGTGGTTGCTGGCATTACAGGTGTGCACCACCACATGGGACCAGACTTCTTTTAAAAACAGAAGGGGGAAAAAAGGAAAGAAAGGAAGGAAGGTAGGAAAAAAGAAAAGAAAATGATTATTATACAAACCAGACTAGTACTAAGAAGCAAAATTTTTAGGACTGGGATGTGGTTAAGTGGTAGAGTATTTGCTGGCCCTGGATTCAATTGCCAACACCCCTGTCCCTTTAAAAAAAAAAAAAAGAAACTTATTTAACCAACAGTAGACAGGACTTCTGCAGAGAAGTGGATGGATGCTGGTGGACCTGGCTCCTTGGAGGGATACAGGAATACAGTAGCCTTAGAGGGAAACCAGGGAATAGCTGTACTAAGGCTTTGTTTAACCCAGTCACCCAGGATGATTCTCTATTGTCAGTCAGTTTTTATGTGTCACAAGAAGTGAAACCAAACTAATTTGAAAAAGTTTCTGATAGGAGGTGGGTGTGGTAACCCACACCTGTAATCACAGTGACTTTGGAGGTTAAGGCAGGAGAATCACAAGTTCAAAGCCTTTGTTAGCAATTTAGCAAGATCTTGTTTCAAAATAAAAAGGGCTGGGAATGTGGTTCAGTGGATAAGTGCCCCTAGATTCAAACCCAGGTACCAAGAAAAAAAGGGAACAGAAAATAAAGTCTCTGATAGGGGTTAGCATCATGGCACATGACTGTAATACAAGCTACTGGGGTGGCTGCAGGAGGAGAATTACAGATTTGAAGCCAGCCAGGGCAGTTTAGCATGATCCTGTCTCAAAATAATAAAAATAAATAAGTAAAAAGAGCTGGGCATGTACTCAGTAATAGAGCACTTGGCTGGCATTCAGGACGCCTGGAATTCAATTCCCACTGGGGGAAAAAAATCAAATCTCTGATAAAAGGCATGATCAATTCTTCTTTCTTCTTCTTCTTCTTCTTCTTAAATATTTTTTAAAAATATGGACACAATTTATGTTTATGTGGTGCTGAGTATTGGACCCAGTTCCTCACACATGCCAGGAAAGCACTCTACCACTGAGCCACCACCCCTTGCCCTGGATTTCTTTTAAAACCAGACATTTTTACAAACTGATAGCCCCAAAATGACAAATGGAGGAGAATAGGTAGATCTAATGTTTGAGTGACTAAAAGAGGTGTGGAAATGGCTGTAAGACATGGTGAACATATTTAATCTTTTTTTTTTTTTATATTTATCTTTTAGTTTTTTATGTAGACAAAATATTTTACATTTATGTGGTGCTGAGGATCGAACCCAGTGTCTCATGCCTGCTAGTTGAGCACTCTACCACTGATCCACAACCCTAGCCCTTAATCTTACCAAATTATACTGGAAAAATAGATTAAATGATAAATTTTATATTACATATATTTTATTTCTTTATTTTTCATTACTGGGGATTGTACCCATGGGTGCACTGCCACTGAGTTACATCCCCAGCCCTTTCTGTTTTTGAGACAGGGTCTCCTTGGATTGCTGAGGATGGCCTTGAACTTGTGATTCTCTTGCCTAAGCCTCCCAAGTCACTGAGATTAACAGGCATGTGTCATGATGCTCAGTTTACATACATTTTACAATGAAAAAAAAAAGCCTGAAAAAAAAAATGAAAACAGATTAAGCTAACATCTATTTTTAAAACCTTTTAAAAAAATTTAGGGAAGGGGGCAGCTAGGGTTGTGGCACAGTTGTAGAGCACTTGCCTAGCATTTGTGAGGCATTGGGTTCCATTCTCAGCACCACATATCAAAAAAATAAAGGTCCATTGACAATTGAGAAATATTTAGAAAAAATATTTTTTGGCACTGGCGATTGAACTCAGGGCATTCAACCACTGAGCTACATCCCCAGCCCTATTTTGTATTTTATTAGAGCTGGACATGTACAAGGTCTCACTGAGTTACTTAGCACCTGGCTTTTGCTGTGGCTGGCTTTGAACTTGCAATCCTCCTGCCTCAGCCTCCTGAGCCGTAGGAATTACAGGTATGTGCCACTGCACCAGACTCTAAACCTGTTTTCAAAAGCATGGTGTATTTGAAAGCTTAGTGTATTTGATCCTGTTTTATGGCTGCTTCATGCTTCATTCCTCAAAGAGAAGTTCTTGGTAGTATGGGCTTGGTTAGTGTGTTTGTACTGGTGGATGTAGTTAAGTCAGAATCCACTGGTGTTGATACAAGTGTTTAAGGAAGACCTGAGAATGCCACACCCAGTAGGTTTTTTCCCTTACATGAACTGATTAAAAATTTTGAGGGGGGCTGGGGATGTGGCTCAAGCAGTAGCGTGCTCTCCTGGCATGCGTCGGGCACTGTGTTCGATCCTCAGCACCACATACAAATAAAGATGTTGTGTCCACCGAAAACTATATATATATATATATATATAAATAAAATAAAAATTTTGAGGATGGGTGGTTGAGAGAGCTAGTTTAAAAGTGCAATAATGGCTGGGGATATAGCTCAGTGGTAGAGCATGCATGTCACACTGAGTTCAATTCCCAGCTCCAAAGAGTAAGTGGGAAAACAAGGCAGGTTGGACTTCTCAATTCAACAAGCAAAGCGTGCTTTCGTGGCAAACTGAAAGAGGAGCAACCAAGGGTTATGAAAAGCAGGCTTTCCGGCCCTCACTCTGTTCCCAATTTTTGGTTGTGGGAATCTGTTCTGAATCCAACTGCAAGTGGAAAACCCTTCTTTGGCTCAGCAGCCAGGCAAGCCATGCTGCCAATCCTCCAAATGGGCTGCTGAAACTTTGGCTCTGTGAGGCTGGAACTGGGGCTATCTTCCCAAGATCTGTGCAGCTATCAAGGTGGCTGTGACTTGATTGTGATTGGTCTCTGCACTGCTTTTTGGCAGTGACCTTGAGACCAGCTAGATCACCACTACTGCTCCAGTTCTTGTGATTTGGTCCTTTGCTTCCACTGTTGTAACACCAGGGGGCTGATGGGAGGGAGAATTTTCTGTTCCTCCCTTTCCCAGTGTCTGGCAGGTGTCAACTATGGTGCCAGCTCTCTGTGCCTACCACCCACTGGGCAGTCCCATATGAGGGGGTCTTGTGAATGTGGGTGGTTTGTTCCATCCCTGGCTCAGATACCTCTCCTAGTCCCTGGGAAGCCAGTGGCTGTGCCTGACCACTAAGCGGGTGCACAGACAGGCTCCACAGGCAGGCTCCACGTGGGCATCCGCTTGTCAGTTTTGCAGAGAAATGCTCAGTGACAGCTGATGATCTTGGGAGAGAAAGGAGCCAAAAGTGCCCTTTTGTCCTACAGGTACAAGTCAGAATCTGCCTTCTGGTTAATCAGGGATTTCTTTGTAATTGACAGTCATCAGAAATGTCCATAGCAAGAGAGAGAAATCTTTTCTCTCTAGACAGTGGCAAGTGTATTTTTAAAACGCCACCCCTTCTCCTTGTCTTCATCCTGTCCTTTTCCTTTTAAGTGGCTTTATTTTTGTTTTTTAATCTGCCTTTGTCATTGGACATTTATTGACAGAAATCAAATTGCTGTGTTTCTGGGCAGAGCGCCTGCTGCAAAGAGGTGTGGTTCCAAGGAATGAGACACGCAGCCCAACAGCTGAGCCTACACTGTCCTCACATAACCTCCCTGCCTTAAATATCGCCAATATTTCGCCTTGCCTTATAAAGTAAAAATGCACAATACCTTCCAGAGTTTCAGCAAGCCCAAATGCCCCCCTAGGCTTAGTTATGTCTCCTGTATGTTGGAGGTCGAACCGCACACCCCTCCCCCATGGAGACCTACCCTTGGAGCCACCAAGAGGTTACTAATCAGGGAGACTCCACCATGGATCCAATGGTGGCGACCTGGGGGATTTGTGTGCATTGTTTTTGCTGAAGCCTCCTGTGATTTCCGCGCGACCAGATCCTCTGCAGAGAACTCCATGTCGCAGCTTGTGGCTGCCTGTGTCCTGTGGTGAGAGCAGAGCCACACAGGAGATCCTTTGTCTAGGAAGGGCTAGGCTGAGAAGATCACTTTGGAGTTGCTAAGCTCTGCATTGCCATTGGCTGCACTCTTTGTGGGGCTGTTTTTGCAAAAGGCATGCCCAGCACGTCTACAGTGCTGGCAGGCCAGGGCTGCCTTTAAACACCATGATAATAATACCAAAAGCAGTTTGCAGAACTGTTCCACTGTAGAGGCTTCCTCTGCAGAAGCAAGCAAGATGGCTACCTCGTGGGCTTCGCTGTGAAGAATGCAGAGGCTAATTAAGACAGACTTTAAGGGGAAAAAAGGGTATTTCCCTACCTCATCTTAATAGAAAAAAATTTTTTTAGTGACTTTAAAGTATACATTTTACATAAGATTTTTAGGTTCTGCCTAGCAAACATGTTGATGATTTTTAAATGGTATAAATAGTTTTACAGAGAAATAGTAAAAAAATTGGGGGGGAGTGGGAGCTAATTTTTTTTCTTGATGGAGGCTCATTTTCCAATTTGATTTTTTTTTTTTTTTTAGGTTATAAAAGAAAACAAGAGGCCCCAGAGGGAAAAGAAGCCCAAAGTTTTAAAGGTAATCAGCTGTTGATTAAATAATATTTATTTTTTTTTCATTTCATATAGTTTTTTTTTTTCTGTCACCTGAGGGTAAATATGGAATACAGTGGATGTGTATTCTCCCAGATTTTTAGTAGATTAATGAATTTTCACTCAAGTTTTTTTCTTTTTTTTTTTTTTCTGATGTACTGCATAATGTGCATATTAGCACCCTTTATTTTCAACTCCCAGAAGTCTGCAGAAGGGAAAGTTTATATGCAAAGTGTTGTGAATAAAATTCATTTTTCTTTATATCCCCCTTTGTAACATCTGCATTTGTGTTGTTGCACCAGCATGTGTACTTAAGCTGGTGTGTGTACTTAAGCTTTTTAGGAGAAAGGTACTATTTGAAGTTGACAGCTAAGATCCATTGTGATTTTAATAGACTATCCATTAAAGACTATTTTAAAATGTGTGATTATTTTCCCAAAGAGAAAAGATTCTTAGAGATTTTAGTTCAACTTAAAATGTGTAAGTCTTGAGATCTTACAGCCAGATTATAATTGCTTAATATAATTCTCATTATATCATCTTTAATTTTGGCATTCTTAGAGCTATAGGAATAAGAATGTTTTCTTTATATTCTATAGATTGACTGATGAGTATTTAACAGTAACCTAATTTGGTTATAAGCTAACAATCCATGTTATAAGCTTTGTACAGTATTTAGAAGGGTTAATTTAAAAGCGTATGGCATCACTAAAAGTTCAAGGCTAGCATTAGTCTTGCAAATAGGTGCTTATGTGCTTAAGCTTTCAAGTGGCATATTGCTACTCTAAATTTTAGCAACATTTTTATCTCAAGAAGAAATAGCAAGCAATAAAAAATTGGTTTGTAAAATTACATTGTATATATTTAATTTAAAATATTTTACCTAATTGTAACTTCTCTTTTGCAAATAGTTTTAGCCTCAAAGAGGAACAACATCTTGAACCATGACTATGGCAGAATTTTATCTTGTTTGTCTCCCTAGTTGTGTGAGTTGAAAGTGTTTACATTAGAACCAAACCTTGTGTTGATTTCTAATTTGGCTGACCACCTTGAGTTTCTGTTTCCTGTGTATACACAGTGTTGGCATGTACATTTTTCATCAACCAACAAGTATTTATTTCATATTTACCACACAGTCAGCAATGTGCGAGACACTGTGAAATGAATGAAATTGCTTGGCACAAATTCTCTTAGGGCCTGGACAAAATGAATAGTGGTTATTTTCAAGACAAATTTAACCACCTTCTGTTTTTCTGCTTCATATTGATTCATCTGCCTCCTTTCACGCCCTTCCCTTCTCTCATCTGTGGAGTCCTTCTTAGATCTCTATATACTTTGTGTATTGGGTAAATCTATCTCAAGCATTAAGTTTTGCATGAGAATAGTTTCAGTCTTGGAAAAAAAAAAGAGTCTACATGTAGAAACAAATAGACAGTAAGTCATTTCCCAACTTTGCTAGGAATTGGGCTTTGGGAGTGCTATTTAGTTCTGTTTATTATGTTAATCTGTGAGTGTTCTGTCACTTGAAATAAATTTGAGAAGTAAATATACCATGTGTTGCTTTTGGGAATCGTGAATTCTTGTAAATTTATTTTTAAGTACCTGTGAGTGGCCGTATGTCATCTGTCCTAGCAAGCAGAACTGAATTGTTTACTTTCCCTCCATAGTTATTAAAGTAATGAAGGCAAGGAAAATGCTCTAAGAGAAAAAATTAATTGTTTTGATATAGGCACTTCAATTTTTAAAAACTTTACACACACACACACACACACACACACACACACACACACTCCTTTTCCAAGCTTTGTTTTTCTTCTGCACAGAAGAATGTTAAAAGCCTTCAGATTAAAATTCAGCTAGACAGATGTAGAATATTATATAACCCTAAAAAAGATGGCAAGTGTGTTTGAGAAAGGAGGGAGAGTAGGAAAAGACTATGAATTTTTAAGGTTTTGTTTTGTGGCTTTTGTGGCACTGCTCCACTGAACAACATCAGACTCTCCCTAAGTTGCCCACATTGGTCTTTAACTTGTTATTTTCCTGCCTCAGGCATTATAGGTCTGTATCACTGCACCTAGATCAGTTTAGGTTTTAATGCATAAGGACCTAGATATTCTACCTGGATTCTCCCTAGAGATTCAGTGATGGGAATCTACAGGTTATAAATTGGACTCTTTTCATAATTCTTTGTCCCTGCTTTGGCATTGAATCAAAGATCCAGTCTGCTTTCTTTGATTCTGGTTCCTTAGATCTTCAAATCCCCCGTGTCCCTTTGCAGAGTGGTTGGTGTAGGTACTATGAATAATTGTTTACCTTTATCATTTCTTAGAAAGTAGCCAGGTGTTTGAATAATTACAAGGAGGAAATTGGGTATAGAATTTGAGGGTTATTCCATTCTGCTCTGAACCTGGTCCCTATTGAATCCAGTTGCAGGGTTGAAATTGCTTTGTCTCATACCTCTCTTTCTCTTTGTACCTGGGATTGAACCCAGAGGCACTTAACCACTGAGCCACATCTCCAGCCATTTATATATATATATATATATATATGAGACAGGGTCTTGCTAACTGGTTTAGGGCCTCTCTAAGTTTCTGAGTGAGGCTAAATGAAATTGTTATTTAAATGTATACCTACATTCATTCAATTGTACTTCAAAATTTAAAGCTTTAAGTAGTGATGTCTATTTTTTTTGTAATCTTCCTCTTGCTGAAGTGTTTCCTTCCTAATGCTTTATGGCCAGCGAGGCATCAAACATCAAATATGAGAGGAAGGGTTGGGTGGTAATCATTGTTATTTTCACATACGGATGGCAACTTCTTAGCCATGCTGTACTAGGAAACATAAGACTTTGTTTGTGTGTGTGTGTGTGTGTGTGTGCGCGCAAGCAAGCAATTATCAAACCTACTCTCTCATGCATGGTAGGCAAGCTCTCTACTGCTGAGATACAATGGTTCAGATACAAAATAAAGAGATATGAATTTTTTATTTTGAGACAGTATCTTGCTAAATTGCCAAATTTGGCCTGCTAATTAACTTGCTAGCCTCCTGCCTCAGCCTCCTGAGTAGATAGGATTACAGATGTTCCATTTGACTAGCTTGATTCTTGACTACAGTAGAAGTATGAACTAGTTTTCAGTTCATGATTCATGAACTTGGTTGTCACTACATGCCTTGGAATTCCTTTTGAAAGAAACATTTATGTTAATATTTTTCACTTTGTGTGTATGGCAGAGGGGATGACTTAGGAGGATATATTTCCTTAGAGAAAGTCAGTTTTTAAGGTAGTATAAAACTTTGATTGGTAGTCTTTTTCCCTGGAGAAAATTGGCACAATCAGTTTGAGCAAAATTTCATAAAGGGAACATTTTACTTATTTATGTATTTGTACTGGGGTGCTTTACCACTGAGCCACATCCCTAGCCCTTTAAAAATACACACACAAACACACACAGAAGAATCAAACCCAGTGCCTCACACATGCTAGGCAAGCACTCTGTCACTGAGCCACAACCCCAGCCCCTAGTCCTTAGCTGGGTCTCACTGATTTGCTTAGGGCCTCTCTAAATTGTTAAGGCTGACTTTGAACTTGTGATCCTTCTATCTCAGTCTCCTGAGCCACTGGGATTACAGGTATGCACCATTGCCTGGCTAAAGGGAATATTTTAGAGGTGTGAGCAGAATTTAAAAAATAGCTAATGATGGTAAAAGATAACAGGGCTAAAGAAGGCAGAAAGCTATTATGACTGGGCTGGAAGGGCAGAGGAGTGGGGGAAGGAACTCAGGTGGAGTGGTAGCTGAACAGAAGGAGAAAGTTTTTTGTTATTGTTTCCATTTTGTACAGTACCAGAGATTGAACCAAGGGGTGCTCTACCACTGAACTATGTACACAGCTTTTTATTTTTTATTTTGAGACAGCGCCTTGCTAAGTTGCTGAGGCAGGCTTTGAACTTGATCTTCCTGCTTTTGTCACCAGAGTCCCTGGGATTACTGCTGTGGGCCAGGATATCCAGCTATGATCACAGATTTCTCTTGTGGTTATTCTTAGAGGGGGACTTCTACATGGAATCATGGCGGGGAATAAAACCCTGGCCTCCAGCCTTCTCCTGTTTTCAATGGTCAACCCCAATGGGAAGCCATAGAGAGGGAAAGGAAGTTTTCTGATGAACTGTATCCAGGTCAGCTTCCTGGAATGCATATGAATGTATAGAAGGTGGAATGTGGACCTGAACATATTCAGCATTACTAGTAGCTAGGAGGGCTGTACTTACTGTTGGGTCAAAAGGAGGACCCAAATCATGATCATGAGGATGGTAACATTCGATGAGGCTGTGTGATTGCTATATAAGAATTCTATACTGCTGGGGATGTGGTTCACTGTAGAATGTTGATCACCATTTGCAAGACCCTGCCTTTAATTCCCTCTGGAATACAAACAAACAAACAAACAAACAAAACACTCTATACTATATTTGCAATTTGTGTCTTAATTTAAAAATCACCTCAAAACCAAAAGTGTGAGCATCTTGAGGAGAAGACCTTGGCAGTCAGGGTACATTTTCTAGCTATTTGGTTATAAAATATCTTTGAAAGAACTGGGTGAACAAATATAAAGAAATGTCAGTGAATTTTAAACCAGGAAAGTGTCTACAGAGACTGATCTATTAAAAAAAAAGAAAGAAAGAAAAAGAAAAGAAAGAAAGAAAGAAACAACATGATCTTGCTGCTGGTTCTGCACTGGCAGCCCTGCTCTCCACTGTTTCCTTCCTTGATGATGCTGATAAAGAGGAAGAGCTAGCCATGCGGGGAGTGGGGGACATAAAGCCTGTATCACTAGCAAAGGACAGGATACTTGTATATAGTATAACTACATGTCATTTGGAAACGTGTTTTAAAAAGAATCAAATCATAAATAAATGAGTCACATTTGTACATGCTCTCAGTTGGCATGACATAGTGATTTTCAAAATATTTAGGACCATTACCAAG